CCCCCCCCCCCCCCCCCCCCCCCCCAATCCTTCCCTCCTTAGTATCATCTAATGTCTGAATATGTTCTTTCCTATTACCTACAGATGTTTGAAGCTCCTTGCTTACCAGAATGCCCAAAGACTGCACCCCAACTTCCAGAGTTTAAGGTAGCTTAAGTGCTGGACACTGATTTGAGATTGCATTGACTTTTACAGTTTGTAATATAAATGTCAATTTCCTTCTTCAGGAGTTTCACCTTGAAACAATGGCAAGGGCCAATCAAAATGCAGAAACATCTAGCGTAGCTTCAGCAGAACTCAACAATCAGGTACCTGCATTACCCGCATTTTTGTCAACACTTGAGTAAAGTCACCTTATTTTACTTGGTTAAATGCATGAAATTGTGTTGCATGACTGGTGGAGAATACATAATCCATACTTGTATTGTATGCAGTGTCGTCAATCGAAGCCACCACATCTTAAAGCTCCCAAATCACCTATTCTCCAAACCTTGATGCGAGCACGGCCTCCTAAGATAAAAACTTCTGAAGAACTCGAAATCGAAGAACTTGAAAAAGTTCCCAAGTTCAAAGCAAGACCATTGAATAAGAAGGTATTTCAGAAATAATATCCAGACCATTTACCACAATATTGTTGTTTCAAAAAGTTTGTTAAGTTTTTCCTTTTTCTATTTAATTCACATAGATCTTTGAAAGTAAAGGGGATGTTGGGGTATTTTGCAACACAAAGAGGCAGGTGACTGTGCCAGAAGAGTTTCACTTTGCTACAGATGAAAGGATCCCACCAACACCAGCAAATGTTGCTGATATATTTGACAAGGTTGGTTATAGATGATCAGAAACAGTTTTATCTCTTTCACGGGAACTAGATTAGTTTGCTAATGAAGCTTATTTATCATTAATGAATTTTTCAGCTGTCACTGAACTCAGAACCTCATAATGACAAATATGTTCCTAGAAATACCATGCCAAATCCTTTCCATCTACACACAGAGGTATGCATGTGATTTTCTTCATGATTGTAGGTTATGTTTGGATCACGCACTAGGGAGAGCAAACAATTATCCCAAAAAAATGTTTTCTTGTTGTACTTCGTATTTGATTTCAATTTGCAAATGCAAAGAAAAATGGAGTAATAAGATGGACATGTTTGAATCTCAAGAAGATTATACTCTTATACAAAGTATTTGATATAAACTTGAAAGTGTTTGTTGGATCACAGAAAATGCCAGTGAAAGGAAAATTGAAACATGGTTTATGTTTGTTAGATGACTTGACAATCTAAAATGCCAGTGAAAGAAAAATAAGTTCACAAATTTCCTCATTCTTTTCCCCAGTATTTTCGAGGTTCTAAACTGACCCTCATGCATATAAAACTATAAAGAACGACCTTTGTTTTCTTGAATTCACAGGAGAGAGGGGCAGAGAAAGAAAGAAGGTTGTTTGGAGAACTTCTGCAAAAACAGATTGAGGAAGAAAGGGCCAGACTTCCTAAAGCAAACCCTTATCCCTACACTACTGATTACCCTGTGGTATGCAATTGCCAATTCTCTCTCAGTCATGTGATAGTGTGATGTTACAATCAAAATTCCTTAACTAATCAGAAGTGCGTTTATCCGTGTAGATTCCTCCCAAACCAGATCCCAAACAGTGCACAAGACCAGAACCTTTTCAATTAGTGAGTCTGGTGAGGCATGAACATGAAATACAGAGAGAGATGGAAGAAAGGCAAAGATTAGAGAAGGAAGAGGCCATGATGAGAATATTCAAAGCACAACCTGTCCTAAAAGAGTAGGAAATCCAGCCTAGATTTATCTTGGAAAATGCAAAAGGAAAAATGAAATGTTTGAGTTTTGTTTGAGCTTATCTTCAATTCTGATATTCATATTCGTTATCAGCTGCGATTGCAGGGACCCTATTCCAGTTCCTGAGAAAACACGTAAGCCCCTCACTCAGATTCAGGAGTTCAACCTGCACGTGGAACATCGTGCGGTGGATAGAGCCAAATTCGATGAGAAGGTAAGTATTGTTAGTTTCCCTAACAAGTTTTACTACTGGTTGAATAACAAAATGTCTGAGCTTTTATCTTAGCACTCACTTGTGAACTTGGTATACACAGATCAAGGAGAAAGAGGTTATATATAAGAGGTACAGAGACGAAGCAGATTCTGCAAGGATGGTAAGAAATCTTCATACGTCACATATTTGCCTAAAAACTTATGCCATAATGTAATGGATAATTATGTTTTGCTTGCTCTTGATATGCATAGATGGAGGAGGAGAAGGCTTTGAAACAGCTTAGGAGGACTTTGGTCCCACATGCAAGACCAATCCCCAAGTTTCATCAACCATTCCAACCTCAAAAGTATGTGCTTTTGTGTTTTTTCTCCATCACACACACACACACAAGCACTAAGGTTGAATTACTGAATCTTGGAAATGCTAGAGCAGGTAAACATTAAAATTAAAGAAAATATGGGTCATATTTACATAAGGATGAATGAATTACTGCATGATTTTCTTTTGTTTTTTACAATGTAATCCCAAACATTGAACAATACTTTTTCCTTGACATTTTTAAACTTTCCCTGCCCCTTTCCGCGTTCCTAAATACGGAGTAGCTTAGGGGGTCTCATAATTCCAGTCTAATAAGGGACGACTTGTGTGATGAATGCAGATCATCCAAACAGGTGACGATACCGAAATCACCAAAGCTAGAAGTGCTTAAAAGAAAAGAGATTCGAAAGTTTCATCTGAAAACAGCATCAGCTACTTCAAGCACTGCTTCTAAGATGAGGTGAAAATGTGAACCAAAGTGAGAGAGGCTTGTATTGTATGTTCAAGAATCCTTGAAAGGAAGGCATCTGTTGTAGGTCTACTCAGTTTATAGTATATGTTGTGTTATTTTTGTATATTTTTTTAACATCTAAAGGGTTATTCATTCGTTTATTTTACTGATGAAAGTGTGAATGAAACAAACTAGTCTCACATTCATCTATGGGGTCAAATGGCACTCTTACTTATATATGATGTTGTACCTCAATGAAACACACTAACAATGCTATGGAAATAGGAACTCTCATTTAAGTGTCACATTCATTTATGTGGTTAAAAGATACTCGTATAATTTAATAATCATTGGTCTTATTGAATAAAGAGAATTACACGTATATAATGAGAAAAGTAAATAATAGGGAGTAATGATAATATTTGATTTTTATAATCCTAATCCCTACGATGTTCTATAAGTAAACGGTGAATAACTAAACACTAATCTTGTGTATTTTTTATTAAGCCCCTCATACCTGAGTTTCACCC